AGAAGTGCCGATAGGGACGCTTGTGGGGGAAGTAATTGAAGTTGCCGGGTTGTTGCTGTGTTAAATCCACAGATGCCCGACGAAGCTGATTCGCCTGTGGACGGTTCGTTTAGAGAGTGGGCATGTTGGGAGGATTTGTGATTAAGAACTATTATCGAGTAGTGCTAAGGCTAATCAGGTTTAACCCTAACGGCTGCGATCTTCCAGGCCCCGGTTCCTTAGGGGATGAGAGAAGACGGTGGGAAGGCCAGAGTGTTAGGAAGAGTGTATTCTGCACATACGGGAAGGAGAATAGTTAGGACGAATTATTGACTGGCGTCGTGCACGTCCTTCCGCCTGAGCAGCGTGGTCCGAAGTGATGCCTAGAGACAGACACCGCATTGTCGTCTGTGTCCCATGAACTGCGGCCGACCTACTAAATGAGGTCAGTCTACTGAAGCGGGAATCTCATTGGAGAGATTGAGGTCAAGACACTGTGGGTTGAGCACATGATGGGGAAGACACGATGCGTGCGTTCGCTCGCGCATCAGTTGGCGTCTGGTCCAAGGCAGGCCGTCAGCAGCAGTGGAGCGCGGTAAATCAACGATAACGGGTTTCAACAGTGGCGCTAACGCCTACTACTCTACCGGTCTAAATTTTGGACAGGTTGATTTCACGTGTTTATATTTGTATGTATAATAATCTGAGACACTGCAGTTAATTCATGATTGATGTTCTTTATATGTTGTGTTGCTTATTGTATTTTTGGAGGTAAATGAGTTTGCATGATCACGCTATGACGGAAGCAGTTAGTGAAAGTGAATTTTCGATTGCCAATAGAGCGTTTCTAGTTAGCCACGGGGTAGTGCAAAACAGTTTTGCCAAAGCCTGCCAACATTTTCAAAAGCGCTTCAATCGTGCGCCACAACTTAGTACCACAGTTAAATGTCGGTAATATCAGTTTGGAGAAACTGTAAACTTGAGAAGAAGCAGACTCGATCGCTGGGACAATAGGTTTATTCACCTGACGTTTCGATATCCGT